ATAGGACATCTTCTTTGGTACGGAAGAATTCAAGAGCCCGACCGCCCAAACCTTGGCGAACACCCCCCCGATTGCTCGCAGATCCTTGCCCAATACTTGCCAAGCTTGCGCTGAACGCTTGTGGACTCCTCAATTTTGCGAGTTCACGTCACGCGCTAGCCCGAGACTACCAACACTCAAGACACGAACGCCCCCGCGAAGAATCCGGAAAACTCGAAGACGGAAATCCAGAAGATCGAGGCTCGGTGCCGGCCAAGGCAAGCATCATCGGACTCTATCAGACAGACATCATCTGCTTACTGTATCTGAAAACAACATCAGAAACCTTCACTAAATTCTTATGCATAGCCTTGAAGCAGGGTCAGCTCACGTGCTATCGAGAGGGAGACCAGCAAGAAGTTTACAGTCCGAAACCACGGCAAAACGATTCAGGCCATGACGACACAAGATCCCATATGAATGATTTGATAATTCTGTCACATTGCGGGAATTTGCCATGGCATCTGTTGCCAAGCTACTGGTCCGGCAGGATGTGAATATGACAACAATCACCACCATGTTACCATGCTTATTAAAGTCTTTGAGAGATGGACCATCAAATGTACTCCCTTTCGGCTTTAGACGGTCCGGACTTCCCATCATTTTCAGACGTGTGATTCAGAAGTCTTGGAGCCTTCAAACCTCGCCACCTTCTGCATGCCGGGCATGGTGGTCCTGCTGCGGGGCTCCAAGGCTTTCGTTCACGGTGCGTTCTCACAAGCTTCGCACGCAATCACTTGTTGCAAAACCTCTCTTGGCCTTGACTTCGGTGATTCAGAACAAGACAGGGTACAGGTGGCTTGGCATTGTGATACCGAGACGCAAACCATGCGGCTAGCGATAACATTATCTGTGGCAATAATTTGAGCGAAAAAGCTTCAAACTGCTGCTAGACCGGAACTGTGGCACGAGCACACACTCGCCCGGGAAGTGTCGGCTGGTTGCTGATTGAGACTCTCAACTGACTCCAGATCTGAAGCGCATGACCAAACGTCTGCCATGATTGCGGTTGTGGGCTTGGTATGCTTGGTTGACCGCCCGAGGCGGGGTTGCCATACACGGCTCAGTCTCATCTGAAGTCAGCTGCAGCTCCACTAGACGGGCAGTACTTCAAGCGTGACAGCCGCATACAGCCGCTGCGCGCGCAGCAGCCCGAGCAGAGGTAAGCAACTCATTCCGACGGGCGCTGCCCGTGCAAGGAACGTCCGGACAGAGAGCTTGTTGCGCTTGGGAGAGGGAAAATCCCGAAGTGTTCTGGATAAGTATGGCATGCTCCCAACACTGCTGTGATGGCTTCATTTTTCGAAGCTCCCATAGGAAGTTCAGAGGACAAGCGCAGACTCGTCACAGGAACATCATACAGGCACACAGACTTTGGTACGGAGGCATATTGTAACGCCAGGACCACTTGAAGATATCAATGCAAGCATGATGATGGAGCCATCTGCTCTCAGAACATGACGAGGAAAAAACCATCGACCAACCAAACTGTTTGCATGCAGCATCAATGTCAAGCACACTCAAACTAAAGAGTACGAGCCTCACTGCCTCACTCTTGGCCCAACGAAGGTCACGCTGCAGAGTCTCATCCTGGCAGAGCCATCCAAAACGACTCTGGCTGCGGGCTTTGAGCTGAGCGCACCGTCTCGTGACCAACCAGCCGGCACTGAAGCATCACGAGCCTAACATGTCTGGCGAGCATGGATGCACCCAAGATATGTGTCAAGGAAAACCCATACGGACTGGCCTCGCCACCATTTCATTTCCATTCTCTGGACGATGGAAATGCATTGCTGGACTAGCTGACTGATCTTGCTGGGTACAATACACCTCTTGTTCATGATGTTCACGGAAGGCCAAAACAAGCTGTGGCAAACTTTAAGACATTGCGACCGCGACAGTGCTTTCTTGCCGTTGTCATACTGCATGATAGAAGGAACAGCACTCGACACATGATGATGCAGTTTGACTTAGGTTTGCGTTAGTCAATTATTTGATGTAGATTAACCAAACGCGCTCTCGATGACCAAAGGCTGGGGATTGCGGGCCGGGCGCTCATACAAAGACTTTGCATGTCTAACCCTGCAAAGCCAAATTTGTGGTGCCAGTCGGGCGTCAGCTATGACTTGAATTGAATATGTGCAAACCAGTGCAAACCTTAAAAAGAGCAGGCATTTGGACTCGTGAGCTGCAAGCGCCGTATACATGATGTCGCGAAATGTCTCATGCAGCGTACATTGATTGAAATACCTGGGCCAATTGTTCAATGCTCTGTGCACCATTTGTGCCAAATTCTCGGTACGAGGCATCTCCGTCGTTGTGCCGGTCGACGCACATCTTGACGCCTGATACCTTTTGCTTCTAGCACTTGCAGGACAGAACCTGCTGTTGCTCAAGATGCGCATATATATCCAGAATTCACTTGAAGGTTGTGCCGGCGATGCGATGCATCATCTGAAACCATCGGCGCTGCACAAGTATACACCGTAATGCATTAGACGTCAGTAACAACGATCAAAGTATCCTCTGCTTGATTCGCTGAGGATACTTGTCAGGCTTGCATCTCCGTAGGAATCAACAAGGACGATGTTGAATCCTGGCTGCTCGAACCATTCGTCCGTTCAATCGTATGCCTGAAAATGGAGTTGTTAGAAATGAATTCTCCTGTTCTGACCCACCATGGTCACAGGACAAAACTGTATCTGCAACTTTCTTATCATCGACTCTTGATTTGGCGGCTCACGTCCTATATCGAAAGAGAGATGGCGATTGTCTCCAATGGAGTGGCACAAAGCACCCAGCGCCAGGGAAGTGGTGAACAAACTCGCTGATAGAAAGCATCAGAAAGCTGAGCTGTTCGTCCGAGTTTGAGGTTTAGTCAGCAAGCAGGTTGCCCAAAGGCCGTTGGCCAAGAAACGTGAAGAGTCAGGCCACGGTGGAACGATGTTGGGCTACACATTGCGGAAAACAGACGCACCTTCCACCATTTCGTTACAAGCTGGCGAAAAAGAACGGACATCAGCAGCACATCCTTTCTCCAAGCTTCAAGCTGTTCGTGCTCCCAGTTCAAGGTACTTTCCATTCTGCAAAGTTCTTCCCTGCAGCGCAACATATTCCAGTCCTTGTGGTGCAACTACAATTCGGATGGGATGAATGTAGACTTGCCAGGGTAGGAGCGGTCCAAACTCAGCTAAACCCTTCATGCTGCCTTTTGTAGCTTGGGTCCCTTTGTGGTTGTTTGAGCCATGATCTGCACTTGGGAATGTGGTGGAATGTGGTGGAACCAAAGCTTAAAACGCGAACGGCCCGAGCATCCTGCTCTGTGGTGTGAACTGCCATCGTAGCCTTGCTTGCGAGTGCCCTTCTATCTTGTGCGTCACAGACTACGCGCAACAATGCCAAGCGTTCAAGAAAAGCTGCTCTTCATGAAACATTTCGCTAGGATGATGTCTCACGAAAAGGTTCGGTCTACTGACGGTGAATCGGCCTACAGCACAAAGAGGTTCCGTGCCCAACGATAGACATCTTCGTGCGCGAACAGCACTTGACCCGCCCACTGGATTTTCGCAAGCACGCTGGAGATCTCCAACACTGGCAAGCAACTCATGTGCGTCGTCTGCGTCAGGTGGATGAGCTTCCTAGTTGCGATGCTGCAAAGCCCAGTGATTGTTGCGGTACTCGTTTACAGGATGATTGGTAGAATGGGCTTCTTTCTCAGGCAAGTCTGAGCGTCACTGTGCGCGGACCTTTTCTCAAGGGTATGTGGTCTAGTCATTCGGCTTCTTCGTGAGGGCTAGTGCATCAGCCGCAAGACTACGTGGCAGCAATCAACGGATCCCTAACGGGCAGCTTTCTTAACAAAAACTGCAACCATGAGCTCAATAGAAGCGATATGCTTCTTGAAACCATGATTCACATGCCGTGGTTGACATGAGCTGCAAAATCCAGTTACATGCCAACAATTGGGTGAATGCCCTGGCTCCCAATGAATCTGAATACAAATGAAGCTAGATGTGAGATGAGAAATCTTCGGTGCAAGCACATCTCCAAGCAACAAAGCAACTCATCGTGTGCAGAAGTCCGCCAGAATCTGGTATCAATCAAATCATGTTTCCTACAGTAGATCGGAGTCGCATTTGTGGGGGGCTGGATCAAAATGCAACGCTGCTAACGAAATGTTTGGACTGGATGCTGATGATGCCACGCCATGTACAGCCCATTGCGAAACTCGTTCGTATCAAGGAAGGAATCTAGAAAAACACCGTCGTGATACGAAAGGGGTGAAGCAAGAAGAAATCTAACAGCCAATTCTCTGCTCGGAGCAAGACAAGAGCGTTCCCACACATGTTTTCACGCGCACAGGAGTTCAAGAACAAGTGACTGGAATCATGCTGTCCTGGGGCGACCGCAAGACTTGTTTCAATCTTGGAGTGTGCTGAAGATTCTGGCATGCGTTCCTATCCTCTGTATGACTCAAATTATCTGTCAAAAGTAAATCTAGCCTCATATTACTCCTGCAAAATAAAATTGGAGCGTGGCATTCCAGAAGGAGAGATGTGTGATGCCGGCAATCTGGTCTGCTGTGGCGTTTGGGAATGAGAGTAGGCTTCAGCCCTTGGAGTTTGGATGAGTTTGGCAAGTGTTGATGTTGTGACATGTCTCAGATTTTTGTTAGCCTCGGCACATGATTCACTACGCTTGGCTTGGCAATTGGTGATCGGGGCATCTTGAAGAGCAGAGCAGACGGCCGCCTTTTTCGATTCAGTCGAATTCTACCTTCCCACAACAAAGGACACATGTCAGCCGCTTGCTCGCCGTTCGGTCCGCGAAGAGGCTATATACGTCCTGGTGTTGTACAGTATCATGAAGGTGGGTAAAGACCTTTGACAGCAACTGGGCTGGTTAGCTTTGGACATCGTGCCAGCCCATTCCTTGATCTTGCCGCAGCGTCTGGAAGAAAGTCATCCACCTCGCATCTTGTGCTGCTCCTTGCGCGCGGAGGCAAACCAATCCTGAAGACCAGTCGGCTGCGAAGGGACGGTGATGGAAGGGTTTTGAAAATTTATCGATATGCTTTCACACGTGAAAATTAGAGCCGTGGCTGGTAGCAGACGCAAGAGTCCACTATTGCTTTGGACACCCCTTTCTCTGCTGCCCAGGTAGGGACACCGCCGCCAGCTTCACTCAGCAGGATGTAATAAACCTTCCACTTGCCCTTGGCTTCTGATCCAGAACGAGCACCTGCAATGTGTGAAAAAAAACAAGGGAATCGTAAACATGCCAATCCATGCGCTCACTTGCACAGGATCGCTTGCCGGGTACTGCCTGCATCCATAGGCTCGAAGATGTAGCCGCCTTGGCTGCGATTCATCAGGTGGCAAGGTACAACAGCAAGAACCCTGGCCGCCAGGGCGCTGGTGTGGTCTATCGCTCGCGTTTTACCGCTTGACGGTGGCTGAGATGCCAAGCTTTGCAGCGCTTGGCTTTGCTCGATCTTTTTAAGCAGCAATGGAGACTGCAAGCCAAGCGCACCGCCAATGATTGATCCATCTGGAAGTGGAGCTGGGTCACGCACAACTGAATCGACTTCGCGAGCAGAGATTAGCCCCAACAGCATCGGTCTGGTGATGGTGCGGATCATCCGCACGTGGCCGTCTTTCCGACTACCGACGTGGAGACGTGTCTGAATGCTGGCCAGGGCAGGATCAAAGCTGAGCTTCAAGCAAGTGTCTGACGCCTCTGTCAAGAGCAAGAGCTCGTTCAGCGAGGTATCGTTCCACACTGCACTCACCATGTGCAGTCTGACGGGAAACCCGTCCATTTTCTTGCTGCTGTGGTGAGCATCTTGAAGATCAGCAATCTGAACTGCTTTTCCTGATCCAGACATCTCTCATACAAGTACACTGGAATCAATACCGAGCTGAGAAGGCCACTCTCGTCCCACCATGATGCCGGAGCCTAACAGGAAATTCAGGTAGAGCCATGACACATATAGAAAATCTCCCAAATCAAGTAGGGGCCTGCGACCAATCCCGCAAAGTCTGCATTGCGGAATCAAGAACAGACAGGAGGAGATCTTCATCCTTGCCTGACAAGGTCAAAGTTCCATCCTTGGTGCCACACTGCGCATGGGAAGAAAAGCCCGAGCAAGCGCGCAATCCTATGAGATCTTCTGAGTGTCTTCAGAGCAGCGTACAGCCCACTGTCTGGCCGTGAGCGCCGTAGCAGTGCCAAGCAGCGACACTGTCACAGTTGTCACTGCTCTTCTCGCCGATCCTGAGCACACCCGGGCCAAAAAAAGAATTTGCTGCCTTGAACACATTCATTTGCATCAGGGCACGCTTCAAGAGAGGTCGCCATGAAGGCACCCGTGCAGCAAGTCGAAATCGCATTCGAGCCCACATTGCTGGCAAGGTCTGAGGCGGCTCTTGCTTCTTATTTGTCGTCTTCTTCCCCTTCTTCACCAAGTCGGACTCATCAGTCAAAATGTCGCATGAACAGGGTGCCAAACGAAGTGTGGGTGCTGCGGATGCTGCAGTGGGACTGCCGGGCTACGCGCGGGCCACAAAGGCTCAAGCCAACGCTGCACTGTGGAACTGCTCTGCATCTCAAAACTGTCTCTCCCGCATAAGCAGCAGAATCTATCTCGGCTTCAAGAGTTTTTGAAACTTGCCGGAAATCGCAGCCAGATCTTAGATGCACTGCTCTGACATATCCGACTGCTGGCAGGATTTCTATGCCAGCTGTCCAGAGTTTGAAAGACATTGCAAGCTTTATCTGGCTATCTAGCAATCGAGCATATAGGATGATCCTGCTAGATCTCTGGAAACTTCCGTGGCAGTTGCCTGCAGCTCCGAGGTGCTGGTCTCGGGCCCGCCAGCTATCTCACTGACACATGCGAGTCATGAGGATGCCCTTCTTGCAAGGCATGTTGCATGCTGCCTAGGCAGCGTCTTTGGTGCGACTGGCTTGCTGCTTCAGGTGATTTGTTCGCGAAGGTCATCGTAAGAGCATCTGCACCTCGGGACAAGGCCCATTCCGCTCGTATGCCGTGAGTGGCAACTGAAAAAAAAAGAGGCAAACCATGCAAGGCCAAGGAATGTAGAATTACTTGGAATGAGGTTCGCCTTTTCGCTCTCTAGGGCCTACCACGAGTGTTTCATACAAGCAGAACCCACTGCAAATACGAATGAATATGGCTAATTTGGCAGCCCCCAACTTCACATCTGAAAATTGCAATTTCGGACACACGAATGTGCCGCCTGTGTGGTTTGAAGCACCAGAACCAAACGGGTGATCTACTGCTTTGGCGATATGCTACATCCGAGCTTGGTTTGCTTACTCTTCCATCTTGACGGTCGGGGGTGGCGGCGTGGGGGGGAAGGAGGCGGGTGTACATTTACGCCGCAGAAGAATCTTTCTTCCTCCAGAAATCTCCAGGGAAACCTCACTTAAGGGTCATCGCTATTGGGGCCTACGTCAAGATAGAGGAGTGAGCAACTCAGGTTCAGCTGTATCATCTTGCTAAACCGAGAATTGACACGTTGAGTCGGGCGTTACAACCACAGCTGGGCGGCACAAATGGCGGCATGTTCGCGCATACGCAGAGTTGGGACTTGCAAAACTAGCCGAATTCGTTGGTGTTTGCAGAGGGTCCTGCGGCAGGCCCTGGGGGGCTGCAATTAGGCTTAGCTTTAGAATGAAACAGCATGTATCCAAGCGGCAAAGGGATCTTCATGCGCCCTGGCCATTTGTTCATCCTCCTCTGCACGTACTCTTGATGCAGCAGCAGCCTTTGCAGCCTCCGGGTCTCCATCCAGTATGTCCTCAAACAGGGCATGAATCTTGCCAGCTTTCTTCTGCTGCTGAGTCCATTCCTCTGTCCGCTGCTTCATCTGATGGAGACCGCAAATCTTCCACACTGCAAAATTCTCTTTGCGCAGCTGATCCTCCACACTTAAGAGTTCGGTGGCGAAGGAGGTTCTCAGCGAGGTGTCAGAGAGACTGGTGCGCCACAAGGCAGCACATACCCAGCCGCCAATGGGGTGTGGACCCAATACGTCCAGGGTGCCCTTGAAAGCCTTGGCGAGTTTCAGCCGCGCTGCCTTCAGTGCAGACGATGGAGCCAGAGCTGCCTCAAGAACACGCGCTCCGCGCGCATCCATGGCAAGAGCTGAAAGAAAAGTTTTCTCTTTCAGGATCTTTCCGAGTCCTGACGTAATCGGTGCCACAGTCTCTGTAGGGAAGCGCAACAGTACGGTCAGCAATAACGGACCTCCTGCTGGAATCTTGCACAGCCTCTTTTCTGAACCCTCTTCCTTGTACAAATCTTCAATGTTAGCTGCTGTTCCCAGAGACAGTAAAGAAGGCCAGGCTTGATGATACTGTGATGAAGCTTGCAGTTCCAATGCACGGAACACGCCTCCAGCAGCCTGTTTCAGGCCAGCTCGCAAGCGCAAGGCTGCTTCCAGAAACCGGAGGACAACAACATGCTGCTGGGGACCTGAGCTGCTTCGCAAACAGGCTGTGAAATCCAGCTCAGACAGAGCAAGTTGTAGCTGCGGAGCCTCACGCAGTCCATCTGCCAACTTCTGCACCAGAAAGGGTCCAAATGATGATTCTGTGCCTATGGCAAGATTTGAAATCCGAGGGCGGAAGAAGCGATTGAAGAGCTCTCCATAAAGCTCTGATCCTGCAGTTTCGATGACAGCCTCGAGCACCCTTGAGCCTGGTGCAGAATCCAAAAGCTCATCACACCTGCGCGGGAGCGAAGGGGAGAGGACAGCGCCACATGCTTCTGACAGCAGCGAGTGGTCGCCGGCTTCCCGCAAAACCCGCAGGAGCAGCTGGATAACCGGGCTCGCATGGACATTCAGAGCCAGGGATCTGCCCGAGCCGTGAGAGTCATCATCTCTAAGGAGCTTGATAAGGCTTGCAGCAGCTCTCCTGCGGCAATCTGCAATGGGCTCTGGCACCTCCTTTTTCTTGGCAGGGAGCAGCCCGGCCCTGGCCGCCTCCTTCCCTTTTCCGGCTTTCCCGCTCGAGTCGGCAACAAAGCCACCCAGAGCTAGCAACAAGGCACGAACCACGTGAGCGCTGCATGGGTCCACCACCAGCTCGCCCCACAAGTTCTCCTGTCCAAGCTTGGTACACATGGCGACCATGGGCTCCACAAGGGGGCTCGTAGGCTGCCCCAGGCGCTCGGCCCAAGAAACCAAAGCAGATTCGAGAACATGAGATCCATATTGGTTGCGTGCCAATTCATTTATGGATCCCAGCAACGCGCTCAGCGCGATACCGAAGCCATCTGGTCCAGTCTGCCGAATTAGCTTTTCTAGCGGCTTTGAAGCTTTCTGATCTGCAGCGAGTAATAGCACGCGATCTGCCATCTCCTCAATAGCCCTTGTTGCAAGCAAGGTCCGCTCCGCGTCATCCAAGCTGTCCAGTGCTTTGGAGCTGGAACGTGCATAGTCCAACAAGTCCCTCATCGGCTTTGCACGTTCGGGCTGCTGATCCGGCTGTCCTGTCAGGTGAACATGCGTCCGCCAGACCGAATTGCTATGAAGAAGCTATCTAGAATTTTGGAGCACTGCCCGCGACACTGACACAACATGTAACCGAATGAAAGCACAGGCATAGATGTGGGCAGCAAACCTCCGCAACTGGCTTGCGCGCCGGCAAGAATCAGCAACACGGTGTCCATAAGAGGGCACCCACTCACTACTCCTCATATCAAGTTGTCCGCACAAAACGCCCAGCATGGCCTGTTGGGGTCCAGTTGGCCCAAGAGAGCCTCCATTCTAGGTCTGGACCTCTTGAACCCCATCCATGGTTTTCGGCCAACGCCCCAAACGAGGTCACCGTGGAAACCAAATGGAGCGAGAGGCCATTTGATTGCACTTTCAAGCAGATAGCGAGCACCTTAGCATTTGTCAAAGCTGCTTTGCTCAAGAATCTCGAGTCATCTTGGAGATTGAGCTGTCATAGTAACTTGCCCGTGGTGTCCGAGGGCAAGCATAGCAAGAGGTTGATAATGGCTCTGAGGCGCACTGCACCACAACAACAACAACAACAACAACAACAACCACAAGCACAACCCTGGCCCATGCCTGGATGACTGTTGCAACTGGTAAGACGAGGATTTAGAATGAAAGAGGGCGACAGCGGCAAAGCTTGGGAAATCCAACAACAACCACCACAAGCACAACCCTGGCCCATGCCTGGATGACTGTTGCAACTGGTAAGAGGATTTAGAATGAAAGAGGGCGACAGCGGCAAAGCTTGGGAAACGGCGGCGCGCCGCAGTGCGGGTCCTGATTAAAGCTCTGCCAGCTTTCGCCGCCCGCTTTCTGCCAAGATGTCAACGAGGCTTGGTCACAAATGGATTCCGGTTGCGTGGATGGAGACAAGGCTGCTTGGCACATAAAGCCGCACCACTGCAACACACTAGCACCAAGCAAAAGGCAAACTTCAAATCCCTTCAACTTCAAGAATGGCAGCGTGCCTCGGTGCTTGGCAGACTGTCCTCAGGGGGCTTCCCCAACAAATGCGTCATTGGCAGCAAACCGCCTCGCCTCCACGCCCGCGACGGAAGGCTTGCTTCACATGCGTGGCACCTGAATGCAGGATCTTGGCCTATCTTAGACTTGCTGACTGAGCACAATCTGAAAATGCAGCAAAGGGTTGTGCACAATGCGTAACTCTAGAACCCTGGGAACACGTGCCATGCGAAAACGTATACCATGCCCGAAGAACTGGTGCAGGGTACCTCTTCCTCCTCCTTTTCCTCCTGCTTTTCCTCCTCCTGCTCCTCCTCGTGCTCCTCCTCTTACTCCTCCTCGTCCTCTTCCCCTGGCTCGCTTCGAGCCGTGGCCTGAGCATAGCTACATCGCTCACATGCAAACTTTTGTCGATGAGGCACCCTTGCCTGTGCCTCTAGCTCTGCCCGGTGTCTCCACCCGGCGACGCTTCATTTGGATGGCAGCTTGCGATTGCAAATGCAAGAATGATGTTACAACGCTTGTCAGATGAACAGCTTTCCGGGCTGACAAGTCATGAATTGCAGTGCTGGAACTAGCTTTGTGGATCCGGGCAGAACGTCACTTGCAGCATGGCAAGCATACAACAGCTTCCTATAATTTGCAGCACTTCAATGGCTTTTCCTCGTAGCGTACGTCAGGGCTCTGGCAGACTGAATGGCACACAAGCTCCTTGAGCATTGAACCCGGTTGGAGCAGCATGGGTCAATACCTGCTGAAGCGGCTGAATGGTGAAAAGAGAAAATGGCATCGACAGCAGCGAGTACAAGACTTTGCACCAGAAGATGTTCTCCAGGAGGTGCCGCCATAGTGTCACATGTCGATCCGGTAGTTCGTACGAACTGAGCGTGAGCACCACTAACACCAGTAAAGAAATGGCAAAGCAAGTCACATCATATTTTAGAAGACTTGCCAGACGACCACCTTGACCACCCTTCTCGGTGTCCGTTGCACCTGCTGATGGATCACGATCCGGGTCGATTCCAACCCTGCTCGGAGCTTGACTCCTACCCTTGGCCAATGCCGCAGCTCGCTGCTCGCGCGCATATGGAAGCGCCAGGAAAGCTATCCAAACCAGAACGATACTACCCAGGTAGTCAGCCATTGCCAAAGCGAGCGATGAGACTTGGCCGGGGCCACGCTCGGAGATACATTTCCCCAGGTCAGCATCATGCCATGTGAAACATTTCAAATAGATTATGGACCCTTGTGACATTGAGAGCAACCCTCCAGTGATGAACTGCGTGCCTTTGCACAGAAGAATGAAGTTGATCAACTGGAATTCATCAGGTGGCCATGGGAATAAAATGAAAATAAGAATCAGTGACAGGACGCTGACGCGGAAACCGGCATTTGGAATCAGCATAGCAAAAGTCAGGGCAATGTAGAGCGGATCCTTAAGCTTGCCAAACAACGACTTGTCGAATGGAAGATAATGTTTCAGCACAAAGTTCCGCACCCAAATATAGCAGCAGAACCATCTTGATGTTGGACCCGACTGCTCCTGGTACTTCTCAAACTTCATCCAGGCCAACTCCACGTTCAGCTCAATTTCCTTTTGGATATCTTCCCAGACAGTGTCGATCAGCGACTCATAGCAACCCTTGATGCAATTCCACATGTCAGGATCTGCAGTGGCTCGCTGCTTCATCAACTGCTTCAACTTCTCCATGTATTCAGCTCGAAGTGGCGCTGACTTCTCCAATAGCTGTAGCTTTGCATGCTCCCTCAGCAGCCTTGTCTCTTTCGCATGCTTAGACAACGGCCTATCAAGCGACTGAAGCTGCCCAGCTATTTGCTTATCAAACTTGTTTGTCAGCCGTCCTGAAGATGTCGTGGTGTGAGCCTGAAGCATTGTTCTCGTTGCTAAGCCTAGCTGGCGACTCTTCTTGACAATCCGGTGCTTTACGTCAGCCCAGACAAGTCTTTGCACGGCTTTGCCAACAATCTGCCTCTGCTTCGGGGCTTCTGGATCACTTGAACTGTCATCCCCTTCACTCGCCGCAGCCGCACTTGCCGACATTGCTGGTGAGATGCCAGGCGTTGGGCGCGGACTTTTGCTGGATGCACTAGGGCTAGATGCACGGACTCAAACTTTGCCATCCTTTGCTCAAACAATTACCAAAAGATGACAAGACCGATGTGTGTATGTTGGCTGCTGCGTGGGTCTCGACTGCACTTCATGTAAATCTGAATTTGGATCCTGGAACTAAACTACCTGCTTCAGTTGAGATGGCACGCTGGCGGCAGAGCATGAATGTAGCCAAGCGTTGTCAACGAAAGCACACGTGCAGCATTGCGGCGACACATTTTCTGATGACGTTCAAACTCATGATCAGAAGGCTCGACATGACTACGCGGTCACCGACGCGGAGACTACGATTTCTATGACAAGATAATGCTTTGGACAGGGAATTTGGAACAAAAGGCATAGCAGACTGCTCTGGTGTTTGCATTGGTTGTGTACCTCAAATGCTGGAGCATCCTCGGCCAAGCAGCTCACACATCTTCTGCTGCTTCTCCTGCAATTGAGGCAGACCCGCAGCTTTGCACATGATATGAGGCACGCCGCACATTGGCGTAACAAGGTTCTGAACTTCTAAACTTCTTCGCCGACACTAACTAACCTTCAGGCCTCCTTGGGTCGTTAGACTATGTGCGGCGAAGGCTCCTTTCTTTCATTCAGTGCATGATGCTAAATATGATCCCCCATTTTTCAGCATGCTTATTCTGTTGTTTTGTTTCGCGGAGCTCCCGGGCCTTTAGCCAGATGAGAAGACCAACAAATGCGCAACGCTTTAAGCAAAGACGTCTAGATTTCCTGCAGTTTTCTCGAGAGCCTATGCAATTCTCGGCCAACACTGGTGGCACAGGCTTGCTTGGTCTGGATCGAGCCTTGGAAAAGTGCATGACAACAAAAAGTAGCAAACATACGAAGGGACGAAGGGACGCGAGACCGCGGGTCTTCTTCGCTTGAGCCTAGGATGCAGTGACCAGATTTTCATGTTTTGGAGCTGCTGTTTCGAGTTTCGAGATGGCATCGGAGCCTAAGAATCCTTGAAACGGTATATGGGTTTTGGCCAGGGCTGGGTTCTCATTCTTTGAGAAGCAAGACGCGTCCTCCTGAGTCATCTTATCAAACTCCTCATTCTTGGCCTTCTGCTTCTCAATGTCCCGTGCCAGCATTGACATCTGCTTGTACTTTGGATCATTTGGATCTACCAGGGTCGACTCCCCGACATCAACAGGCTGCCAGTCTTCACTGATGGACTCTTCGGTCACAATCTCGCCAGGCATGGACTGCTGCGTTGGAAGGTTCTGGTCCCCTCCCGCTGCGCCACGTTTTGCCGAGGCTACATCTGGGACTGCGAGCAGCGCTGAAACCGCCAAAGCTCCTGAGAGGACCTCACGCCTCCCTGAGGGCATCATGAAACTTGGAGCAAGGCTCGCCCATCCGCAAAGCAAGGCTGGCAGTACCAGCAGGCCCCTTCTCGTGCGCCGCTGCATCAGTCCGCAATAGATCCACGCTGGCACTGAATCTTCGAGCTCGAACCGAAGCTGCGAACACATGCGAACACAAGGCTGGATAACAACGGATAACACAAGCAGGTTGCTTTACCAAGGTCGCGCTTTTTTCTGAAGTGAAACGTGATGCTGTTTTCTCACCGTTGCTTCTCGCACAGAGCTTGTTTTGCAGGGTTCACCCGGGGTCCGTATTCAAGCCATCATGATCAGATAAGCCCACGAGTCCACGAGCACGCATGCCGTTGTTCTGCGATCATCTGCCATCTACATTTCGCGTTGTCCTCCGTCCCACACCCACTTCAGGGCTCTGCATCGCTCCGCTCTGCCGCTGCCTGAGAGGCAACTTTGCACGAGTAGGCGCATCGCCCTTCAAGAAACGCGGCCTGCAGTAGAGATTGCTCCTTGTACTCACCAACGCCAGACATTGCGTGTCCATGTTGGCCCCAACCGTTCTCTGCATAATCGAGTAGGATTGCAGAACATTGCAGAACATAAGTCTGCTTCTGGAGCTCAGTCACTGTGGACTTGAAGCCTCTGAGCCCTTGCACATCTATCAAGAGTGCAAAGCGCGGTTAGAGCCTCTTGGCGAACCTCTACCTCTTCATCGCAGAGGCGCGTCCGAAGTGCAGGCAGGCAGTTTGGACAATCCTCAGCCACGCCCGCCAACAGCCGAATTGCCGATTGCCTGGCTCCAGCACAAGGACTGTCGAGATGCGATACCGCCAGATCGAAGACCAGGTCTTTGTCAGCGTTTCTGCAGAGAAGTGACACTGCGACCTGCCTGACCTCTGACCGATCATGCGCAAGCCGTTTTGCGAGGGATTCGGCAAGAAAGGGCTGCATAGGGATGCCGCCCAGCACATCCAGCGCCTTCTCCCGCACGTCAGCACGGCTTGCCTCAAAGGAGGCGGCTGGGTCAAGAGGCTTTAATTAGGCAGCATGTACCGACTTCTGGCCTCCAAACTCTGGCAGATGGCTGCGATTGCTTGATGGTCGCCTTGCCGCGCGGAAGCCTGCAACACCTCTAAAGCTGACATTTCGACATAGGAATCTGAGGCCTCCAGCACAGGGAAGTCATTGCAAGGACTCCTGCAGCACGTGTAAAACTCAGCCCTTCCATGCGGCGACAAGTCTGCTTTTCGCTGGACGCCAGGACTGTCAACATTCTTTAACCATGTCCTCATATTGCTTTCTCTGACAGCCGACAGCACATTCAATGCGGCGCTCGTCTCGCGCGCCTCCCTGGAGCAAGGTGCTTCGCCCGCGTGCAATTGGATTTCGGTTGAATCTCGTCGCAGATCAAGGATGAACAGCACCGCACTAGCAATGCCTCAGGAGAGGATCTTGCCAGGGCTTGCTTTCTTTCTTGCCATTTACCCAATGCTGGAGATGAACCATCAACTACTGCTGGAGGATGTCAAAGGAGGTGATTTGATAATATATGTGCGACTCTTGGAGTATCTGCGTTGTGTCCTGCGATGACATAAGATGGGTTGGAGACCTTTCAGGAACTATCTTGGCCGCACTGGCCGCCGCATGTTGTGCACAGCATGGGTTAAAGACTATGTGCTTCATTTGCTATGATGCGTTAAAGCTTGCCACCTACAAAGGCTTTGGAAAGAGACCTCAACCTGCTTTCAGATGTCCGATCTTTCTTAAGTTACAGGCCGCTGCGCTTCGTCAACGACTCTGTAGTCTGAGGTTTGTGGGGCACAGGGTCAGTGCCATGAACTTTGACCTGCTATTGCTTAGAATCGACAAAAACATAGAAAAACACCCCCCGAGTTTTGGTTGGCAGTGGTCTCAGACTTAGAGAAGAAACCAAGGGTTGGAGACTGTTGACTCCTGGTACGAGCACAGTCAGACTGGCCCATTGCTCTGTGGATTCTCACAGCTGGACTCATTCCGAGGCAAACGGCTAAGGCTGGAAAAGCCTCATCCCACACGCAGATACAGGCAGAGCAAAATGACCCTTGCCTGTTCCCATTCCTCACCCCGAAAGCTTCAAAGGTTTTTCCTGTGACCTGCAGTCTCAGCCGGCCCGTTCCAAGTAGAAATTCGGAGGCAACTTCCAACTGACGGGGCCAAGAGGATGCCTAGAGGTCTCAGAGCTTCCTCTTTTTGCAAAGAAAGAAAAACATCGAGAAAAAAGACATCTCCAAGCCAGTGCTTGATCGTAGTCATTGGTTGCCCAAAGGACTTCCAACTAAGAATCAGGTGCATTCGATGTTGGGAGGCTGTGCAAGTATCACCAACTGCCTACTCCTTTTGATCAAAATGTGTCGGGCCTTCGGCTGCCAAATGTCGCAGAGCTTGGTGCACGATCTCATGATGGTTCTGCTGTGACTGCTCTCCTGCTTCGCGTTGCGCAATCGAATTCAGAGCATCCACCTCGAGGTGACCATCGAGAGCATGCAAGATGTCACGAGATGAAGTAGACAGCGACTGCTTTGCTTTGAGGATCCTTTCGTTCACTTCCAACTCCTGGTCTGCTTCAGGAATACACATCGCCAGAGCAAGCACTGCAAGGGGATGGCCTTGCGAGGCTCCTTCTCCTAGGATATCCACGGCAGCTTGTCTGCAAATTACTGACGAGCTTCCCAAGCGATCCGCTGCAGCCAGAAGTGCATGGCGGTCACCCAGCTGCGCAAGTGCGGTAAGCAGCTCCAATCCAGAGTCTGTCCTCTCGTCGCCCAACCATGAGGCAGCAGCACGCACCACACGCACATGCCACCGCCAAGCGAGGTCCCGCACATCCAGAAACGCATCTTCCAGGCTTGCACGCAAAAGCACCGCTGCTCTTCGGTTGCCCTGCACAGCACCTTGGACACTGTGATAGACTGTGCTTGTAAACGGCTCTATGTCTGCCATATGGGTGCAGGGTCGTCGCCTCTTCCCAAAACTTCCACAGCGCCTTTCCGCACGAAGAACCTCGGAGTCTCCCAAGCTGAATTGTTTCCTTTGCCTTCTCGCTGGGCTTTAGCTGCAAACGTTTGATTCACTATCGGTGCTTCACGGATTCACTGAGCATTGTGCCGAGCATCTTGCAGATGCCCTGCTGCTGCATCCAATGCTTCAGCTATGCCACAGCCCACACAGTGCCCCAGAATCTCAACCGCCAGGCGCCTCCAAAAGATTAATCATGTCTGTGCTATTTGAGCACATTTGTCTGGTTGGAGAATTGGCAAAACCCAGCCTTACATGCTGCCTGCTATCATCAAACCACGTGTTTGCGATTAAGATAGCAGCCATGTTTCCAGCAGCGCCCATACGGGCCAACACCTTGGTACAACCCAAAGGGTTGAAAATTGAAGCCATCAAACCGAGCTTAGCACCTGCGCGGCAGCCACCCTGGAAGCATCTCATGCAAATTTGAGACTCCTTGAGTAATTTGGATGGGCTCGCCTCACGGAAGGCCAATCATCTTGCAAGCAGCAGCTTAAGATGAAGCAGGCCTTGGCTACAGCCGAATCTGTTTCTTGCAGAGCAATCAGTCATGAAGACGCCACCATTGCGGCTTAGCATCCGAGAGATCCGAGGTTGAACCATGCAAGCAACACTTTAACGCTGCTAAAGCTGACTTCCCAACATTGACATCCGTGTCTTGCAAAGCAAAGGCTATTGCGGACAGCGCTTCCTTGTCAAGTTGGCAAAGCTAGAATCTCAAATAACTACACGCTCTTTCCACCATATCCGGTCCTGGTCACCAGTTGCTGCACACGGATAGAGCGCATCAATCGCTGACTGCTTCAAGAAGTTGGTTGTGCCGCGCGGGCCAGCTCCCAGCTCCGACCTGACATATCAGTGCGCAGCGCACAGTGTGCATGCTAACTGGTGCCCGAGAAGCATGCAATACCATGTCGGTTGATTCATGTATTCTCAGACGAAGCAAGTCTTGTCAGCCGCGAGTCTGGAAGGCGTGCAAGTATGTGCAGCAGAATTGGAAATACTCGTGCGTCGTGTCAAAAGCATTTTGTAGACGCTTGATCCGGAACGGTTGTCGACGTTTTTGTTGAGACTGTCGGGCTTCCCGAGGTTGCTTCGCGTGGGGGGGAGCGATAGCTCACTTGGAGGCCCAGGTGCTGCCAGCTTCCGCTTTGTGCAGTTCAGACACAGAGCCACTCGTCATGCAATTATGCTTCTGGCACGACCCCGAGTGTTCAATCTTCCTCACAATACGACAGCAATTGTTCATAGTTTGTACTCACAATGTCAGCAAGTGTTTTCATTGTATTCACATTGGACCAGCCTCAGTCCTAGTTGGCATGCTGCTCAAATCGATAAAGCTTGCTGTCGCGCGAGCAAACAGAGGGCGTATGCTTTCTGCGCACATGTATGCGTAGAGCATTGCTGGCACCAGTTGCAGTTACAAGCGAGTCAGCGGGACCGTGGATGCGAAGCATGGCCTCATGTTCGGCAAGCGGCAGTCACAGCCACCGGTGTGAAGATTGCGGAGCACAAGCAAAAACTCCAAGCCGAGCGAGGTTCGCAAGGTGGCAAGAGCCGCTTCCCGCTGCATGCCCATTAAAGGCTGCGAGATGCTGCGACCAAGAAAGCATCGGCAAAGAAAGCATCGAACAGCAATGCTAGCCACTTTAAAAAGAAGCATGGCTTCATGCTCGCGGGATCCTGAGCGAGTCTTGTTGAGCACCGCAGATGTCTCGGCCACTCAGCCTTTACATGCAAATTGTGCATTCTTGGAGTCGCTTCATGCACGCCGCGTAGGTGATGAACTTGAGATGGAGGATGATACATGCAGGGAATCTCTAGCATTCTCAAAAGTCAACGCCACATCCCCTCAACACATAGTGGTGAAACTGTGCACAGACTTTGGCTCCCTGCCACTCTCGTCTATGCTTTCGCAGGCACTCTCACGCTCAGCTCAGCCCGCTTCTTGCTGAACCTGACATCCGAAAGCCATTCACAACCGTCCGCAGCAAATTGCAAGCAGATTCAGGCAGCACAATTTCGCAATCTTCTTTCGAACGCACGCTTATTGCCAGTGAAGCAAGCGTTGGTCATTGGCTTGCTTTGAAGCTCGAAACGATCTCCTGAATTGCCTGTATGACAGCGTCAACTTCAGACTCGTCATTGTAGTAGCTTGGGCTTAACCGCACTGTCGAGGGTAGACACCACTCCTCGTCATTAAATGTGTGCGAAGGTGGGGACAAAGACACGGCAATCCTGCGCTCTGCAAGGGCATCCCTGACAAACTCAGATGTTATACCAAGGTTTGAGAAGGCCTCAAATGTCACAATTGCACACCGTGATATGCCGTCGTTGATCGCCTCATTGAACTGCTCCGGGGCATCACAACAACGAATGCCGTCAATGGACGCTAGCCCTCTACGCAACAAGACAGCCAAATAGCTTGCCTTCTGTGCAATATGTTGCGGATCCATGCGGATGCAAAGTGCCAAAGCTTCCTTCAAACCCGCATGGAGCGCTGGCGGCGACTCCCACATCTCGTAGCGCCGCGCATTCGGCGACAACTTGTAGGCTGAGCGCTGCGTCCAGCTCACGGAGACGTGGTCAATCATTGAAGGCTCCCCAACAAGTTCCAGCTCCGATCTCTGGAGCCCATGGGGAGTGGACTGCGGCAACACAGCCGACCGAGCGTAGAGGAATCCTGTGCCGCGAGGCCCTCTCAGCCACTTGCGGCCTGTACCACAGGCAAAGTCGCACGATACAGCGCGAACGTCAATAGGTATCTGTCCAACAGACTGACATGCATCGAGGAGGAATACCTGCTCTTGGAAATGGGGTCGCGGGGGCAGTTTTAGAAGACCCTCTAGGTTTCTTCTTCTGTTTGGACGTTTGAATAGCAGCAATACTCAAAACATTGCCATTTCCCGCATTTCCCGTGCGTGGCAAAGCTGGGGCCCCTGGCCTGGTTCGGGCTGCACTGTGGCTGGTGGGCTCCGATGCTTAGGATCTATGCCCTGACTAAAGCTGGTGGCTCACTCCAAACAGAACAGGAAAGACAACCGGATGTTCAACATTGCCCAAAAACCGCACCATGTTTGCGAGCTAAAGCTCCCACCGCAGCGGCAGGCTGAACAATGGAGGAGTTTGTCTGAATGTGTGTCAGCGCCACCACGGCACGTGAGGTCTTGGGCATAGATTTCAATACACATTCGAGCGCATATACATCCACCACACCATCTGGTCGCATTGGCAATATCTCAAGCCGAGCTTTGTGCTGTGTGGAAGCCTGAAGAAAAGCCACAGCATTTCCAGCATATTCGCTGGCCCAGCACAATATCCAATCGCCTTCTTTGAAGCTCAAGCTGTAAAAGGCTCTGGCCCAAGCACTCTGTGCAGACTCCGTAAGAGCAATCTCGTTTGCATCGCAGCCTAACAGACGCGCAGCCTCAAGTCGTGCACCCTCCCGCGCGTTAGCCAATGCCTCTGCTGCATATGCCCCCATGTGACGCTCAAGCTCGAAATGGGCAAGCATTGCTTGGTGCACTTGATCTGGCATTGGTGAGGCACCAGCTGCGTTCATGTGAAGCCAGCTTCCCTGTGCCGGCGTCAGCCCAGCTGTCCTTCGAACATCAGCTGCTTGCCGGCAGAATCGCCTGCCCTTTGTCCAAGGCAGGAACGGCAGACAAGCAGACCGACACATTCCCAAGCAGTAGCGCATGCAGTCTGAAGCAAAAAGACGCATGGCACAAGTCAGACGACTTCTTGATCAGCTGCGGGCTCAACTACTCAAGACTACTGCAAACTCCAAAACATTGACCAGAACTCTCTTTCAACCTCAACTCCGTCCTCCACTACGCCCTTACCCGTGCAGCTGCCCAGCTCAGTTCCCAAAATGCTTTGGCCTTGCAATTCCAAACTGGTGCCACAAAGCTTATCCCTTGCAGCAAGCTGATTGGGCAAAACAGCAGCACAAGACTGCATCACGAAAGTATGCGCGCTTGGCATGGTTTCTTGATGCAAGCAGCGGGTACCTACGTGCCTTCTTACAAAGCAGAACATTCAACTTCCATGCGATGCAAAATCTTCTAACACATGCAGCAATGCTACTGCTGTAGCAGGCTGGAATACATAAGCCTCCGGCTTTGCTTTGGCACCAGATGGCTCAATCAGTACCTCGTGTACCGGACTGTACTCAAACCCTGCTGGCTCACAGTCTAAAAATGATCGCGCTCCCGACCGGGAAGGGCCCCGCGTTGATAGCATACTTGGGTGCCGGATCCTGCTAGGTTAGCCAATTTTCCTCCAGTCTGGTTCAGCGCTGTGGAATATTGCGTCTTGGGACCGCGCAACCGTATTTAGACGCAAGTGCTTCTCAGCAATGTCCAACACCTAATTGCTGTCTGTACTTCTCTTCCGTGAATCTACAGGCGAAGTAAGTGGCTGACGATGCAGCCCATATCACTCACCCCAGGGAGCTCACAAATGAGTTCCATCTCCTCGGCATTGCTAAAGATAAGTGCGCTTCCAAGGAAATTGGTCCCTGGCCCCTAGCAATGACGCAAGGCAACGGCTTGGTATCTGCCTTCGATATCCTTCTGGTACTGTAGCCTGTGCGTTGGAAGAATCACCTTGACATGGGGCGCACTATGCCATTGGCTTTGTCAATATTCTGCTTCAGCGCACTCAGCGCACTGGTATGCAAATATGGCCTCCGGAAGCGCAGGCACCACGGTGGAGCGCACCTGGTCATGATCCCATCGCCGAGCAAGACCCTCAATGAGAAGTGTCTCTTCAAGGCGTTTGGTCTCTACCGCCTATGACTTCACACACTCGCCCACCTATTGACATGCATTGACCTACGGCCAACTGCCAGAATTGGCAACTGTGAATACTGCTCACGCACCAAGAAGAGGTTCAGCTGAGAAGGAGAAGGCATGCCAAAAGCGGTAAGTCACGCTGGCAGACGGGTTGCAAAATCCGGCACAGAAGTGTCCACATGTCATGTCATACCCTGCGGCAGGAATCCATTCAAGAAGCCTTGTTGGTGTGGCGTATGTTCATTGTAGCGGAAAGCTCTTGGAGAATGCTGGGAGGGCGTGTAGGTAGCTTCCTGATGCCCCGCTTGTCTCAGGCATGCTGTAAGGTATCTTGCTCCCATCACCCAGTCCATAGCAGAAAACTTCATCTAGTTGGGCCTTCTCGCTGCCAACCGCTGGACGAGTAGAATCTCCGCAGATACCTGCTTGCGAGGAGCTGTTAGCCACGAGCACAACGCATGATTGCATTCAACATGCAAGCATCGCGAGTATGAAGCTCTTCTGCACTTTGAATGGCTTGTTCTGCTCCGGCAAGCCTGGGCTTTCAATTTTGCAAAGTGGCAACATCTGCCAGAAAGCAAACTCCCCAATGCATCTTCAGGCTGGGCAGGACATTTTGGTCAGCAAGCAAGATCGGGATTCCATCCAGCTTACTACGCTCCTTTTCCACGGCCTCCCGCCTTTTAATTACCCACCTCTCCCACACCCCAGCAACTCTGCTAGATGCTGGAATCTGGAACATCTTGCTTGTCTGGAAACCTTACAAATTGTCACGTGTCCTTGGCCTTTCACCAGAGTTCCGAATTTCGCTGGCAAGCAATGCAATCAAAAAGAAAGATGTTGCGGACAGACATGGGCTTTACAAGTGCGGGAGCACGATCCTGCTGTTGATGTCGATTATCTGTTGTTAGCCTTGCGGCTTGCTGTCAGAGATGGGTTTGCAAATTGCACGGGTCTTTCCGCAACCCAAATCTTTGGACGGTGTGGTGTGTAGGTGGATACCTGAAGGCGGTAGGTGGGCAGGTACAAAGGTAGGTTGGTAGGCGGGTAGTGGTAGTAGTAGTAGTAGTAGTAGGAGGCTCCGGGTACGTTCGTGACGGTACAGTTTTGTGGCATTGGAAGGGCCGAAGTGCTGTAAATACCAGCACTCGTGGGCTTTAGATGGCACCAGTTCACTTGCATCCCAATTTGGCCTTTTT